CAGGAAGAGGCCAAATAGCCTTTCTTTCTATTACTTGGGTGAGCTTTCCCATTTCCGTTGTGACAAAATTCAATAAGTGTCACGTCTGTCTGGTAAATCACAAATCTTGAATCTGGGCTACGAATGGCCTCAGAATTCATTTTGACATTCTCACATTCTATTTCTCCTGCGATCTCTTTCTTTCTCCTTCATTGTCTTATCTTAGTAGCACGGAAAGGAGGGGACAAACCAAATCCACCCAACCCAAAGACGGGAGATATTGGTATGATGGGCTGGAAAAGATGGATCTATGGGGGCTGGATCGCCCGGACGTATATCTGTTGACGTTCATCACCCAGAGGGATGAGCGAGTCTTTGCACTTAGCGAGAAAGGGATCAAAGGCTAAAGGCAGAAAAGGGGGGCACTTCACTTATTAAGCGCGATTCACGCCCCTAAGGCACTATACTGGTAGACGGGTTCTAAAGAGAATCCAGCTAAATCCCATTTCTTCGCGCGGGATTCGAGCCTACGTCCAGTTCATTCAAGGGTCATTGGTTTAAAACCCCACGAGAGGGATTGAACATGCATCCTCCCTTTCTGCTTTTCCTTCGCACACGGTTCTGGATGTCATTTGGACACTATCCTATACCGAGTCCCAAAGGCGAAGCCATAAGAGGGGACCGGTTCTCTATAGTCTTTTCAAAGCACAAGCACCAGTGGAAGCTGATCTTCAGCCATAGCTCTTTGATTTTAGAAGTTGGTTGATCACACTAACTTGGAATCACCAAAAATAGAAGATGGAGGAGGTGTTCCCGTATTTTATCAACTCGCCCTTTTCTAAGATCGGTTTTTAGACCCAATTGGGAAGGCAGCTGGTACTGAAACAAATTAGGAAAAAACATACAAGAATGGCCTGGCATTCTTTGACTTTTCTCAGTGGAAACACAAGCTACGTAAGATAGGGAAGAGGATAGATTTGACAATCACTCAAAAATGCAACACAGGTGTGGCATGCCCTTGCTTTGATCGCTATTGAAGAGTGGAAAGATGAAGCGCCCTCACGTCACAAGAAAGAAATGCAGAAATAGGGAGATCTACTCCTGACTTATACAACAGTCTTTCATAACCAATTCCTTCAACCTCTCAGCTGCGTGGGCTGAAGCTAGGTTTTTGATGACCCTTGCAGAAATGCTGGCTAATAAACTAGATAATCTCAAGCTAGGAATGAAGAAACTGCTCATCTCTTTTCTTTCCTCAGGATGGCGGTCGGGAAAACGGACAGTGGACTTACGTCGTTTTCAAGGAGCTGGGCGGAGGTCGAAGCAACTTCCCATCCATGCTACGAATAGAAAAAGAAAGGAGTTTTTAGATTCATCTAAACCCTTCTTAGATCTGGAACAAGACCTGAAATAGGCGGGTCGGGTGGTCCATAGCTGATAGAGCTGGAGGCAGGGGGTTCTTTTCAGACTGGGGGCATGGGTGAAAAGGGTAAGATTCTTGCTATTCCATTACATGCCAGAGATCCTTAACATGCATTTTTGGTAGAATGGCAAAAACGACTACGACTAGTTCGCAGGGGATCCTTCTTATAGTAAAATTCCTACTGAACTGAGAGATCCTGTTGTGTGCCTCCATTCCTGGCTGTTAATGGATTCAGAGTCTTCTTCTAGAAGCTCTTCACGCGGGTATGGGGATTAGGGCCCGCCTTTGACTTAGGGTTAACGACGTAGAGTGCCCCCTTCGAAGCAGGGTTCTTAATCTTCTTCATCTTAGAAAAGCCCCTCTGAATGGGCCAGCCAAACCTTCTATTCTAATGAGAAGATCGAGGAAGTAGGTCTGTTTTCTTGTAATGGTCTCAGGAGAGAACTTCCACTTTCCTACCAAATCTCTGGACGAGGGCTCTTGTTTCCAGCTTTTGATGAGTCAATCTGCTCGAAAGGAGGATGGGTTGGATCATGGGTCTTCGAATGATGGATAGAGAAACTATTCTGAGTCTCTTTACTTAAGATATATATTGGCTAAAGCATGGACTTCAACACCAGCTACAGTGACCACAGAAGCGAAGCGAGCAGCAAGATCGGAATAATAAGCTGTGTAAGGGTAAGGGCGGCTAGTAGTGGTACGCTTTCTCGATAGAGAATATCTGACTTAAACGAATAAGGTAAGTGCTGTGGTAAGCACTAGCCCCAAAAAGAGCTTGCTTGCGCCGGAAGCTTTGTTGAAACTAGCTCCAGTATGGTCTGCGAAGTAAACCACTCATTTGCCATGTATGTGCGACTACACTTTTGCTGCAGGTCAAGTTCCTCAAATCCGGATGGCAGGGTCGCGTGAATACTATTGAGTGAGGATCGACCTAAGCCTGCCTAAGTGGATCGACCAGAAAAGAAGTTCGTAAGGCTCCTTTGTCATAGTGACATCACCCGTGTCTCTCGGGCTATTCCATACCTTCTTACTTAATGAGGAGGAATCTGTCTATGGAACAACAATCTTACTGTGACACGGAAGCGTGAGCCTAATAGC